TAACCTAACCTAACCTAACCTAACCCTAACCCTAACCCTAACCCTAACCCTAACCCTAACCCTAACCCTAACCCTAACCCTAACCCTAACCCTAACCCTAACCCTAACCCTAACCTCAGCATTCTAAGGACAGAGCTGCTTTCTGACGCAAGTGTCAGTCGGCCAACGTACCACGATCTGACAGTAACAATCAAGCTGCTGCTGCGTGTGCAATAGTCCCATACGACTGGCTAGATTGTTGTCGGCCTTGCTTGGAACGAAGCTGGTAGGCCGTTTGCACGGTTTGGGAATGAGTGCCCTGTCGCCGCTATAGCTGCTTGCTGAGATCGGAGGCATTGGATAGTCCTGGGGGCTCCTGGGAGGAGCAGCATCTTAGGAAGGATCCGGAGGGGGGGGAACGCTGCCGGTCGATGGCGAGATACTGAGCAGCGGCGGAATGCGTACGTGTCTCATATATAGATATTCGCAAGGGACTGTAAAGGAAGCGGATACACGTGTACATCCTGCCATGCTCGAGTCTAAGGGGCTGTACAGACTGAGATACGGATGAGAAACAGTGAGGAACACCTGAACTTTGGCGCGGACTCTGAGGGCCATCCCGTGTACTTAAGTACAGAGGCACGTGTCCGTGTCCTCCATGTGATCAAGCATTTTTGCGAAGCGCACTATGCACAGATTTTCTGTGAGCGACACATCACTGATGGCTGGTAGTCAAGTCTAATAGTTGAGATGTGTTCACTAATGTCTGGCTTCTAACAATCTCTATATTCAGCTGGGCAGGCAACGGCTTCTCTAGGGGTAAAAATGCTTTCACAAAGGTTCTATCAATATAATAAGAGGGAACTATGAGGAGGGTTAGAAGAGAGCTATATGTTGGCTTTCGGACACTTTGTGAGTGATTGCACTTGGTGATGTCCGATATTGATAAGGTTTTTGTATATAAACACTGTACTTACTATACTATACGGTACGCGTTTGCAATGAGATCCCTCCGTTGTCGCCTCTCTTCTTGAGCCAAACGCGAACTACACTCTCGCTTGCCAGTCACTCTCTCATACTATACATACCCACTAAACGGGGATCAAGACTATGCTCACACAGTATCTAGACCCGGTCGTCACTAGTGATGTGCAGGGCCGGCCCGGGCTCAAATACCTGGGCTAGGGCCTGGCTTTGGAGGGCTCAGGCTCACTAAGACCTCAAGCCGGGCTCTAGTAGCAGGCTCGGGTTGGGCCAGGCCGGGCTCAGGCTCAAGCCCGGGCTTTCCACCTGCTCCATACAGTGAAAAGATCCTGTTCTTTGTGCATAAATGGTGAGCTTACCTCAATAGTAGTATTCATAATATGTCGCATAAGCTGCGAGACTGGGACAACAGATTGTAGAAAGTGCGTGCTCTGAGAGAGTGAGCGTGTCGGAGTCACCAAATCTAGTAGGTCTAGCGCCCACGTTCAAGCGCGCGAGCTCCAGCTGCGTGTAGAGCTGCATCGTTCTTTCCTGTGAGTTGCAAAGTGCTTTTCTGAAGTCAATGCAGCCCTTGATCATACTATACAGACACCTCTCCTAACAGCTGAAGTTATACTCGAATGAATACACAGGCAGGTCAAAAGCCCGGGCTTGAGGGCCGGGCTCAGGCCTACCGAATCTCAAGCCGAGCCCTCAAGCCCAGAAAGCCTGATGGAGGGCCGGGCTGGGCTGGACCTTTGAGGGCCGGGTACTCGGGGCTTCAGGGCCTGAAGCCCGGCCTTGCACATCACTAGTCGTCACCATAGCAACTCAGAATTTCCCAGTTACAAATATGAACAAGCACTCAAGCGTCCCCTGTGCGCGCGGTACTCCCGGAGGACCGTCCATGGGCATGGGGGTTGTTGTACAGCTGTGACAGGGGACAAACGCGTCCTCTGTGCGCGCGGCACTCCCGGAGGACCGTCTCTGGGTTTAAGGCGCGTTGGTAAACATAGAAAAGACAAAGGCGTCCCCTGTGCGGGGGGTACTCCCGGAGGACCGTCTCTGGGAGGGGGAACGCGTGGGCAGCATTGACAAGCGCCAGAGCATCCCCTGTGCAGGCGGTACTCCCGGAGGACCGTGCCACAACGCAGCCATTTCGAGAAATGTGGTAGCAGCACCACTGATATTTCGCCACGTCTCCTCAAGTCGACCTCCAGAAGTCCTTTCGCAACCAGTTCGAAAGCGGATTGGATCTGCTCAATTGCTAAACTGTTGGCGCAGTGGGTACGTTGTCAAGCGCGCTATTGCATAACGATTATTGGCGGTCGAAGGGATGTGCGAGGGACCCACCTCAACTGATTCTGAACAGGGAGCGTTGACAAATTGAACTATCCCATCGGTTTCAAATCGCCTGCGAAAAGACTCCAGTCTGCATATTGCACACCGTATTCCATGTTGGTGTGAAGGGTCATACAAAACGTCTAAACAATCTGACTACTCGCGCTAGTTCCATTCCTCAATGCACCAACCTGTATGCCCTTATCTTCTCTGGAGTGGTGGGTAACGGAACGGAACCGGACGGAGGAGTGACAGGTGGTTGCGGGAGATGTTCCTCTGCGCGATCAGGTGAGGACGGGGGAAAACCTTGATGAGCGAATCGCACCCGTCCTTGAACGCCAGAAGCCTGCGGCTCCGGGGTGAATAGGTGCTGGGGAGGGTGGTCGAGGACAGGGCTCGAGATGTATTCAGGCGAGGGGGACGGGGTAAATATATGTGGTAGTGGTGGCTCTATTACTGGACTGAAGGTCAATTGGCGGCGAGAGGGTGGAGGGTCCGGGGGAGAAGACTTCGTGAGATCAATGATGGAATCTGGAGAGGCTGCGCGAGAGGATGAGGAGATTGATATGACGTCGTCGTTGAAGGCATTGGGATTGAGGAACGAGGGGAAGGATAGAAACCTGCGGGGGTTTCCGCCGCGAAGGACTTCCAGATCTGAGGAGTCTTCTTCTTCCTCAAACTGTGACACCTCTCGACGTTGCACTGCCTCTCGAGGTTGCACTGCCTCTCGGGGTCGCCCTGCCTGGCTGGCACTGCTTCCGGCGACACTGCCGTCCCTCCCACCCGGTGCGGCACGGCTACCAGACGAATTAGCTGAAGCGGTGGCGCGTCTGCGCCGGATGGAGGAGAGAAACGCGCTACCCTCCCCATCAGGCTCACGACCCTCATCGCGTGGCCTACGACGGGGAGCAGACTCCATGACAGATTGCTGCTGAGCATAGAGCTCGGCCCAAGCCTCATCCTCAGCGTCCTCGCGAGGTTGAGCAACGTACCCCATGACAACGGAATCAGGGCCGCGATAGAAGTGTTCGTTGACGGCAATGTGAACAGCGGTGCCGTGATGACCAGGGGGCAGTGTGATCCAGCCTCGAGAATTGTTCCGGAGCATGCGCGTTTGCCACATGCGATCAGAGTAAGGCCGAGGGAGCCAGCGGATATCGCGAAACTGTTGCCACAGAGCGTCACGTACTCGCTCGTTGTAGCCCAGTCTAGCCATCTCATGCCCATAAGTCTGGTAGTAGATAGATTGAGGAAAGTTCTGACAATTATTGATATGTTGGCCGGCCTTGGGGAAGAACTTGTCGAAGACGAGATCTCGCCACTGGGTCTCGTTGAGAATTTGGATGTGTGCGGCGTCGAAGGGAAGCTGGAGCGTCATGAAGAAGTCAAGAGAAACGGCTTCTCGTTCCTCGAGGGTGAGCTTGATGTATGATGGTGCGTGGCGAGAGGAGTAGTTGGGAGATTGTTGTATAACGTCGGAGGGAAGCTGGGCCCACAAGCGGGAGATGACAGTATCGATGTCTTTGTCTTCTTCATTGTGTTCGGGTGCAGCATCTGCGTCGATTCCGGTCGGTTCCATGGCGGGTTGTCGAGCCACTCCCTGTGCTACAAGGCCAAAATCATGCAAGACAGGTGAGGCCTGGAGTTGGGTGACGGGGACTGTCCTGCGGCGATTGTTGGTGCGGAGCTTATGAGAGCGGGTGAAGTTGACTACGCCTAGAGCACGCCCAGCCATGGCGACTTGTAACTCCTTGAGACCGGCCTTGCCGTACAGGACGGCGAGAGAGGACCCGTCGAGAAGATCAGGGGTTATAGCGAGACGTAACACCCCGTGTGCTCGATCACGGACGACGCCGGCCACAAAGAATAGCCCTCGCTGGGAAATGTAGGGTTCAGCCTCCTTCTCGATGAAGTCAATGTCGACATTGTCCGGGTCGGCGGGATCGATATCGGGATGGGTACGGAGGGCAGAGGCCTTCGCGAGGGAAACATCGATTTTGAGCTCAGAGGGTCGGTAAATGACGCCATTAAGCATATACATGCAGATAGACCCCAGCTGAAGGCTAGAGATCCATGCACGTGCTTCGGGAGGTGTGGTCGCAATGTCTTGTAAGACACTGTAGATGGCAGTGGCGCGATAGAACTTGAAGAACCTGGATCTCTGGTCAGCCTAGCAAATGGGATAGGGCAATCATACTGACCACCACAGACGCGATGGTATGGGCAGCACCGAGTGTCGGATGAGGTCATTCGGGAGCGTGGTATGGGTGAAAAGTGCATATGCGATATTGACCCGAACCTCGAACCGAGCGGCGCCATCCTGAAGGACACCTTGGCCCCCGGCACAGTCATGGAAAGTAGTCGAGATGGCGTCGATATCTTGAAGGAGCTTATCCAGCTTGTTAGGATAGAGGTCGACTGAAGTGTGACGACGAAAGAGACCACCGTTGAGCTGGTAGGTGACGTTTTTGTCGGTAGTGTAGACGTTGGCGTAGGTGACGCGGTCACGCGTGCCATAGGAACGGGGTTCGAGGCGGAAGCCAGAGAGGTCAGTGAGGTGACCACTGAGGTCGCAGGCGTAGAGTTTGCTGCGAGTGAGTTCCCTGGCGCGAGTTGCGTTGACATGGGGGAGAGCGTGACGTATGAGCCTCGGGTGTGCATCCGTCAGCCACTGCATGACGTGGCCTGGCTGATGAACCTCGAGTGCGACATCGACATACCAACGGGTGCGAAGTTCTTCGTCTGGGATCAAGGTGATGTCGAGGGGGTCGAGGACGGTTTCGAGAGCATCTCGGCGACGCTCTTCGTCTGAGGGGTTGTGGATCGAGGTACCCTTGACACCTTTAGCCTCGAGTTCGAAGAAGGCTCCGTGAAACTGGCCACCGAGGCGGTCCAAGCGAGCGAGGAGGGATTGGGCGAAGCGCTGGAGGCAGTTGACGGGAATGTCATGGCTAACGGTGGAGAAAGCAGCCCTTCCGCGGGCGAGACGCAGGACGTGGTCATAGTTGTTGGGCCAGACCGTCCTTGCAAGATTGGGATTGCATTCGCGGATGGCCGGGAGCACTCCGACGTTGTAGACTTTGGCGAAGAAATCTTCAGAAATGGAAGGGGCGACATCGCTTTCCCATTTTCCAGGAAAGAAGAGGCGGCCTTGATGGCGAGTGCCGAACTTCAAACACTGATAGTTCGGGATCTTGTGAAGCAGCACCTGGGTAGTGACGTTCTAGCGGGAGTCAACATTAGCCTGCGATGTGAGAGAAGAAGTGATAACATACGCCTCTAGTAATGGGGTACATGATATGAATGGTTGACGTGAGGGTCTCCCTGAAAAGGGGGAAGCATTGCCAAGCAATGGGGACGGAGAATGGGAGGGTGCGAGTAAGGCCGATGACGGAGTCGAAGTCGCCCACCACTCTGTAATCGGTTGGACGTTCAAGGCCTATGATCGGATTGACGAAGATGCGGGTGTCCACGAGCTCGTCCGTCTCCGGATCGGTACGTTCTCCTACACCAGAAAGAATGAATTTGACGAGTTTGTCCTGCTCGTCACGCTCATTCAAGCGATGGGACGTCTCAACAAAGTCCAGGAGGGACTGTGTAGTGGGATAGAGATATTCGTAGGGGAATGAAGGCATTGTTGGGGACGGAGCAGAGTGGGGGCCCAAATATTTATGTGTGGGCATCCGGCTAACCGAGATGCGGTGTGGGCAGCATGGACAATGCATGTCCTTGCGTGCCGTGTGCTATTACGGAATTGCGGCCAATGACTAGCACGGCTAAGGGCAATGTGCGCACAACGTGTATCAAAACGTGGAAGCGGGTACAACGCTGATGGGAGAGGGGTAACACATGTTGATGATTAATGTAAGGCACGGAACATGCAGGCTGCCTGCAGGCCTCAACTGACGTAACTATGACAATTATTGATGTGTCTGATGGCTTCAAAGAGCGCAGACACCGTGCACGGAGACGGCCCTCCGGGAGGACCGCAGGCGGCAGGGGCGGTGGTGATGTGTTGCACAACTATCGGAGGGCGTTGCTCGCAACGGGCCTCCTGGAGGCCCGTAGGCGCATGGACACCCCTTGCGCAAGGGGCCCGGCTGCGGAGGCCCTCTGCTCTGGAGGGGCCTCCCGGAAGCCCCTCCGCGGGACGGCCTTCCACTAATATGAGCGACGGGTAAGGGTTACTGGCAGTGTTGGGGCAGTCTTCCTAGAGGACCCTGTACACGGAAGCATGGGTGGCGGAGTGGGCGCCAGCTTCCTAGAGGACTGTCCAAGGCAACTGATGAGAAGTAGTTTTGTGTATATATATATTGACAGTATCATTCGAAACTTTTCGGGTAGCAACCACAACTTATAGTAAAGACTTGAAGGCACACCACTATGTGCATATGCAGTGCGGTAAACTAGACATGCGATTACTACGAGGGACACAACAATCCGCTGCCATCACTGGCAGACACAGCACTGTACGTACACCCTCCACCCTGCCTTCTCGCCCGGATCTGGTATGGTGCGCTCGCCTGAGAACGACGGCGTGGAGATGGTCGGAAGTGATGCCATTGATGTCGACATGCTTGAGAATGAAGATTCCGGCACTGAAGTCGGGGCGCATGAGGATGCCTGTGCTACAACTGAGAGAGATGACATGCTGAAGACCACAAATCACGAAGTCAGTAAATTTCAAGAGATAACCACAAGGGAGGGACAGACCCCTTTGTTTCTATGACCGAGACAGTGGAAAGGGCCCCCAAAAAGGTGGGCATTGGCTATATGATATGATAGGTGAGAGGGGTGGACCAAGTAGAGTGGGGCCACTAACCTGACGAGGACATGGCTGGGTGACAACGGGCGAGGGAGGCGAGATAGGCAGCATCTCAATAGCCTCGCCACAAGGGGGCGAAGACTCCTCGGGTTTGGAGGTGTGGTCTGAGATGTTGTCGTTGGACGGCGGCTTCAAGGACAGCTCGTCCTCAGTGCGATGCCACTGTGAGATGGGGGAATCGGGAAGGGCTGGCTCAAGGTGATCCCGCACGACACCTTGCAGATTAATTGTGTTGATATGGAGGGAGGGTCGAACACGAGGAGGGGGATCAGCGCACGAACTGACGGACATGAAGGAGCTGGGGGAGAGGGGGCGACTAGCCTGCATATTGGCCATGTGGAGGACGGAGGAGATGAGTGCTGTACTTTATACTAGAAAAAAACTGTTGAGCGTTCCGTGGTTGACGACAGCGGATAGAGAAGAACTGAAAGCGGATAATGTGCCAACAGATGGACCCTGAGGATGTATGCAGTAGGCTCGACAATCTGAAAAAGCGGGCAGACTAGAAGCTTTGGGGTGGCATCATGCCATAATTTACGTGAGCTTCTATTCGCTTCCGCCATTACTCTGTTCGAGGGATCAGGGTCAAACGACGGAGAAGTAGTAAAAAGGGAGATGAATTGGACTGGTTGAGGTGGATGACGTACATGTCCAATGAAGAGATAAGGCTGCCTAATTTGAACAACCTGTTCAATGTTGCGTCGATTCACTATTGGAAGGGTTTAGAGTTATCAAACCAAGTCACCGCTTCAATGACCATTGAGAAGTAGCAAAGGCGGGTTGCCCGGAAGGACGGGTGAGGCATGAGCGAGAGTTTCTCAACATAGCAAGAGCCCCAAATGCAGGAACGGGCCTCCAGGAAGACCCCGCGCGTGAGAGGGCTCGAGCGCCAAGCTGCCCAGGACGCGGGCGGTAAAGGAGCTTTGATTGAGCGTTAGGGCAGTGGTGCGTGCGCGGTCCTCCCGGAGGACCGTGTGGAGCGCAGGGGCAGTGCAGCAAGGGGGTGCACGATGGGTTAGGGGGCGACGGTCATTTGAGAGGATAGAAGGACAGCAGTAGAGTGATTAGCTTGATAACACCGCCCGCCTGGGGGCGCGGTGGCTTAGCGGTACCACCGAGCAACTCGATATAACCCAGTGTGCAGAAGTGGAGAAAGCACTGGGTTCGAGACCGTCCCCGGGAATTAGCCTTCCCATCAATCGCTAGGGGGTTTTAGTGGGTATGGCACGCCGGAGGAGTCCCACAGTATCTCCAGAGCACGGCTGCACCTGAGCTTCTGGGAATGTGCGTAAGCGCATTTCGTGCTCGGGTTGGTGCTCAAACCGCGGGGTTTCCAATCCCCGCCAACGGAAAAGTTCAGGGTGCTTACACCTTGGGCAACTTTGCATACCGTCCCGAATCGTTTCTCACGACATGCCCTCTTGGGACCCCTGAGAACGACGGCACAAAGCGCTCCACCAAAAAAAAAACATCGCCCGCCTGCTGGACATTCGCGCTGAGTGTGAGAGGTTTAGCGCTGGGGGACCCACTCGCCAGTGGTCCTCCCGGAGTGCCAGTTTCGGAGTCAGTTTCTGTGCTGAAAAGTAACGTGGTTCTGTTACTGTTGAGCGGATAAACAGTGGCATAAATATCCTGCAACGTTCGCTGTGTCAGTCTGTGATACTTGATCAGTTGGTTGTACTCAAGGCTCACACAATTCATAAATAGCCGAAGAACTCCCTGTTCGTCCCCCCCAATATTGACCTCGTCCACCCGTGCTCGAGGTCATCGGTTCCCGTCATTCGTGCCTGCGGTGACTCCGTCTGACGCCTTTGCCTGCGCCCTGGGTCGTCCCACCTTCTCCATTGAGCCGCCAACCTCCTTCGGGTGCCCTGCAACAATTTCTCGGCAGATGCGACCCGCAAGCCTGTACCCGTGACCATCGGTGATGGCGCCCACTGGCAGTAGGGTTGCCCTCCCTGTACCGGGATCTGCGAAACGGTGCGAAGACATGAAACTGAAGTCGCAGAGTTCCGGGATGTCGGCGACGGTGACAGGAATACGAAGGTGACGGCATTCGCGTGCAGCAGAAAGGGCGGGGTCATAGCTACAATGGATACCTAGTGGTGCAAACCATCGCAGATGGGGTTGGCTGCTGGTAGATAAAGCTGTCGAGAGCCTTTCCGTCGCACCATTAATTGTTCGATCCAGAGTTGGAACAAGGAAGCGCATCAATGTCGACGGGGTCGGGTTGCTAGGAAACATGGTTCTTGCATATGAACATCAACGGGGGTATAATCATACATGGGGAGTACTACGAGAACAAGCGAGAGATGATATGCAGACGAGGACTACGGGTCGACAAAGAACAGGCAACGGTGAGCGGGGAGACGAGAACGGGAGAGAAAGGATACAGGGGCAGCGATGAGCGAGACGACAAGAAGAGCAAGACGCGACAAGGGCAGAGATAGCAACAATGAGGATCCGCGCGAAAAAAGTCAGCGAATGTTCTGTCCTTTACTTCTTGCGGGGCCTTTGACTGGCCCTCGTGGGCATCGTCTCGGCGATGCGTGCGAGGCGCTCGGTGTTGGTGCGCTGTCGCGCACTAGCCCGTGGCGGCTGCTCCTCGTCTTCCTCCTCGTTCGCGGGCTCTGAGAGGGGAGAAACCCGCTCACCCTCAAGCTGGGCGATAGCTCTCTCCCTCTGCTGCTGCCTCTTCGCCTCCGCCTGCTGCTTCGCATTGGTGCTCCCCCTGGTGGAGGTGGGTGCGGCCGCAGTGCCTGTCGCCCTTGACGACCCTGCTTGGGGGGCAGGCTCAACGGCCTGAGCGCGAGCGGAGGCCTTGGGCTTCTTCTTCGGACGGGCACGCTCGGGGCTGGGGCTGGCGGGGGTGTCATGAGCGGGGCGCTGTGGGCCGGCCCCGTCCGCGTCCTCGATCCAGCCGGCGTCGTCGAAGCCCATCGCGAAGTCGTTGTCGGCGTCCGGAGGGAGGTCGGAGACGCGCAACTGGGGCGGAGCGGTCGCCTGTGGTGCACGACGAGGCCGAGGCGGCGGGGTGATCTGCTGCTGCTGGGGTTGGGGAGGAGGCTGAGGCGCAGCGGGGTAGTTGGCAGCGAATCGCTTCTGGAGCCTATGCTCGACCTCTGGGTTGGGTTCCAGACGACCGAGGAATCGCGGCTCCAAAAGTGTCTCATCTGAGGTTGTCGCAGGAGCGGTCTCCTTAGCCTTGCCCTTGCCCTTGCCCGCCTGGGACTTCGCCGTGGACTGCGTGGTCGTCTTCGCCCTTGGCTTTGGCTTCGCCCTGGCTTTACCCTTACCCTTGCCCCTACCTGTCTCGTCCTCGTCCTCGACCTCGATGTCCTCGTCCTCGACCTCGATGTCGTCGTCGTCGTCGTCGTCGTCGTCGGAGTCGGAGTCGGAGTCCTGAAGGCTGTCATCTCCCTCCGCCAAAGACGGCGGAAGGAGATGTTTGAACAGCTGGCCTGTAGATGATAACTTTAGCACAATTTACTTCAAATGATGTAACAAGACGTTGGGACTTACGGAGAGACTTCGACCCGGACGTGAACGCGGACAGCAGCTCCGCCTTGGTGAAGGACAGGACGCTCAAGAACATGTCGGTGGAATGTTCAAGAACGGGGGCGTATACGATGACGTCCTTGGGCTGAGGGGGGCGCCAAACCCGGCCGACGAGCTGCATCAGCTCCTGATGCGACCACAACTGATCCTGTAGAGGAGTCAGCCCGAGCACAAAAAAACAAGATGGAAACGAACCAAGACGATGAGGATGTTTGCGCCGGGGATGTTGAGGCCCACGGCGCCGACGTTGGAGAGGAGCAGGACCCGACGGCCTCCGCGCTCTGACTGCTGGAACTCGCCCAAGGCCTTGTCGCGGTTGCCTTGCGACTTGAGTCCGTTGACCGCGTAACACTCAATGCCGTGTAGTTTGAGCACCTGTGAATACATTAGTGAGGGCAGAATTGGGACATTATAACATACCTGGGCGATCAGGTTGTTGTTCTGCGGGAAGGCGACGTAAACGACGATGCGGTCGGGTCCAGCATCAGAGGGAGGGGTTGTGGGCACGAAGGTGGTGTTGGGCACCAGGCTGTTAGTCCGCTTATCGTCCATCTTCATTGGAGGTCGATTGTCCGTGCCGAGGTGGTGGAGGAGGAGCTTAACGGCGATGTCGAGTTTGCTGGACTTGTTTGCCTCCCACTCCTCCAACGTCTCCGGGACCCACTCCGGGTCCTCGCGGAGCATGTAGCACAGATGGGTGACGCGGAACCGGAGGTAGAACGCCTGGGACAAACAATCTAGTGTGAGCACAGTGCACCGTGTGGGCGATGTAATCAATCGAGGCGGTCCGCGCACGCATCCGATCTCCAACTCGACGACGTCAAGGCCAAGATCCAGGACAAGGAGGGCATCCCGCCCGATCAGCAACGCCTCATCTCCATCTGCAAATTGTCACGGAAAGCGTCCCTCCAGGAGGACCGCAGGCACAGGGGACCCCGCTGTCCAACACAGTGCACTCCATCTGGTGTACAAACGGCTTGCGAGGAAATCCTCCACCAGGATGTAATTCACCACGCTTTGACGGTCCAACTCGCACCCGGTCCTCCAGGAAGCCCTCCGGCAGGGGGGACCTTGCGCGTCCAATCTTGCTCTCCAGCTCCCTCTCGCACTCCGGTCCTCCGAGAAGCCCGCCCGCGATGCACACCCACAGCGTCTAGTTCAGCGCTCAAGGTGCCTCGCGCAGGCGGTCCTCCAGGAAGCCCGTCTGCGCTAGCGACCGACCCATCGAGTGATGACCAACGGACCCTCGCGCGCCCGGTCTTCCTAGAGGCCCACGTTCGCATGTGGCTCCACCACCGACAACGTCAAGGCGAAGATCCAGGACAAGGAGGTATCCCGCCTGATCAACGCCGCCCGACGCGAGAATGGAGCGCCCACAGACTCCCTCCGCCGGGGGTCCTCCTGGAAGCCCCATTCTGACATCGAGACCTGTCCTGAAATGTGACATGGGTGTTACAAGAGACTCACCCGGCCTTTGTGCTCGGCCGCTTCCCGAGCGCGACGAGCGCTCTTGCCGTGCTCCTCGATGACCTCCTTCGTGGTGTTCTCGAGGGCCTGCAGCTCGACGGGTTGCGGTTTGATGAGCAGGGTCTGCATGAAATACGGCCGGAGGCCGGAGATGGGATTGCCTTCCCAGTCGACCGACTCGACCGTGCGCCTGATGACGAACCCGGTGAAGCTCGTGCGGAGGAGGCCGACGTACCTCGCCATGAGCTTCAGCTGCTCCTTCTTCTTCGGCATGGCGACCTTGTTCTGGAGGAGGTTGTCGACGAAGCCGCTCGTCTTCCGGTTCTTCTGGAACTCGGTATTGGCCGCGCGCTGAGCACGCGCGATCTCCTTCTTCATGCTCAGCGCCCATTGCTCATTGTTGCAGGCGGGGATCCCGAGCGCCATTCCAGTGTGATACAGATCCTTAATGCAATATATGTCAGTAATAAAGAACCCTATCAATGTGTGAGTAAATGCATTCCTACGTACCGCAGGCCCGTTGTGGATCGGTGTCGCAGTCATCGCAATCGCAGCGTGACCGCGCTTGACGAGCTCCCGGAAGCACGTCCACTGCCGGTTGAGGTTGCGCAGCTTGCCCGCTTCGTCCATGACGATGACACCGAAGCTGTGCCCGAACAGGCACAGCTCCGGGTCGACACCGATGTCCGCGGTCGGCTCATCGGGTGCCACAGCGAGTGGGACTTGGAAAAAGTGCTTCACGTCACCGTCGCCGCCCTAATTCGAAATAAGGTAAGTTGGCTATCAAACTAGGACGGGCTCAATGCTTACTGTGGACAAGACGAGAAGAACTTTCTGACAGAGCTGCTGCTCCGACTTGAGCGCAGTGACCTTCTCCCAGATGGCACGGCGCAGGACCTCCTTGTGCTGGCCAGTGTAGGGGAACAGCTCGAGGAACCCCCACTTGACGTACCGATGGAACTCGCGCATCCACTGGTCCATCAGAGCAGGGGGCACAATGATGACGTGCGGGCGGTCAGGGAGGTTGCCGTCGCGGGTGCCCTTCGCGCTCATGTTTCCTGTTACAATACATTCTTAGCGTTGAGTAACTTGTATACGAGCGGTGGGGACTCTTACCGAAATGGCCCGGGAACCTGCCATACCTGGCAAAGTGCCTCCGGAAGGCGACGTACATGCAGAGCGTGCCCACAACCTGCAAAGTCTTACCGATGCCGACCTGGTCCATCAGCAGGAGCGGCCGCCCCTCGATGAGTTGACGCATCATCTTGACGACCCCGACGAGTTGGTGCCATCGGGGAGCGAACGGGACACCCTGCCCCTTCTTGATGAACGCCTCCCACTTCTTGTTGTCCCAGGGGTCCAGCGCGCTAGTGGGGTCCTCGACCTCGTTGAAGCCGGGGAACCGCTTCGTCGGGAACCCGAGGATGTCCCACACAGCGTCCGGGGACTTGTCCTGGAGGTCCTCGACGCCGCTCTCCCAGTCGGAGATGTCGATGTCCTCTGCCGGGCGCTCCTCTATCTCCGTCTCCGGTCCGACCTCGATCTCGTGGAGGACCTGGTCGAGCTCCTCAATGACCCACTGCGTCCTGGGGTCATTCGCGAGCATGCCCAACGCGATGCGCAACTTGTGAGGCAGCTCTGCAAAGTAGTATATCAGTCATGAATTGTCCATGTAAGCGCAACAAAAATAACTCACTGTCCGACGCCGCGCCCTTCTTGGCCTCGGCAGCGTCGCGCATTTGCTGCACGCGTTCCTGCCATAAGTCCAGCACCTCCTTCGCCTCCGGGATGGAGAGCTTCTGCGCGTTGTTGACGAGAGTTTGAATGCTCCGCGCCAAGCTCCGAAG